GCCGAGATCGACCAAAGCTCGATTCTGGCAGAATTTGATAGGAACATTGTATGAACTATTTGGATAACCAATTATGCTCCAATTTATACAAAATAGGTGTCATTAGAAAGCTTTGTCAATCTAGTTTTAGGAAAATCAAGTTTTACAAGAATTGGAATTTACAACAGGGAGTTACAGATAATTTTGTAGCGAAAGGTCTAAAAATATTAGCTCTGTTTTACTGAATCCATAGGGTCGATGAAAGCAGATGTTTTAGTTAGCAATTGTACTCCAAAAATTTCAAATAAGGTATATACAGAAAGAATTTTGAGTCTAGCTTCGAATAAATCATACTTTGTATGAATCTGAGTTCACAGCAGAAAGTTATAAACAGTTAAGCAACAAGAGGTCAGAAATTTCAGTCCCTGTTTTGCAGAATCTATAGGGTTAATTTAAACAGAAGTCTTAGTAGGCATTTAAACTCCAAATCATTCGATCTTAGTATCAAAATAAAGATTTTTTTGTCTACTTTAAATTGGAATAGGTTTTGTCTAAATCAGAATTTATTACAAAATGTTATGACCGAAACATTGCATAGAGGTCAGATTACCAAAAAATTATAGATTCATGGCTTTGTATCAAAACGAATGAAGGTCTGGTTCTCAGTTGAAATCTCTCAAATTTAGCAGAATAAAAATGGAAACAGAGATTAAGGTTACTGTGGGATGGGGTTAGAACACTTGCCTTAAAATTACTTGAATCTCAAATATGGGAAAATTAATGAAAAACCTCAAGCTCTTCTTCTTCTTCTTCTTCTTCTTCTTTTCTTCTCAAACTCACGTTGGCTGCAACTCTTCAGATTTTTTTTCTTTAACCTTTCATCTAATTCTTTTTTTTTTTTTTTTTGGCTAATGTAAAAATTGCAAGGTGTCATGCATGTATGAAAGCGGCTAGGTGTCATCTTTAGAGTAAACATAAGTGGCACCATTAGGCTAGCTAGTGACATATGTCCACTATTTTTTTTTTTTAACTTAAATCTGAATCTTTCATAAATTATATCAAACTTCTAATATTTACTCTTAGGTCCCTAACCATAAACTTTTAATATAATATCATTTAATATAAAATAATTATTAAATAATTCTTATTTTTACAAACAAATCTTTTACTAAATTTTCAAAAATGAGGGATGTTACAATAATTAGTCTTACATTAATATACTTGATATTAGGTGATTAGGAAGAAGATACAATAATGTCTGGTCATTCACTTGACAGCTATACTATCAGCTCAACACATCAAGTAAGCCTATTAAAAATAAACTCACTTGTTTTCAACAAATTTAAGAAGAACATGCCCTTCAAATGCATCGACAAGCCTAGACAAAGCCTTCTCTCTTGTAGATCCCCTTCAAGATGAAATCCAGAAGTTTAATTAGCTGAAAATTTGAATTTGAAAATCTCCACAACATAGAATATCAGCATAAAATAAAAGAGTACCACATACAAACTGAAATATGGCAACAATTGTCAAGATATTATTGTTTATTAATTTTAACAGTCATCATACAGCCACTTCCAACAAGAAAACAAGATTGAAAATAGAGGAAATGCTGGTGCTATAAAGAGCATAAAATAATGAGTTCACATTGTACATTAGTTAAAATGCATATCTTAAAAAACAAGCAAAATAAATGAAATAAAATCCAACATGTCTGGCATACCTAGTAGCTAGATATTAGCTAGACTCTAGCTAATATCCTTTTACTTCGTCTAAAAAGCATGAATAGTAAGTATTCAAGGTCAAGCAAATATGAAACTAACTAAATATCATCTGCAGCCATTAGCACAGTAATTATGTGAAGATCATTTCAATTTGATACAAGGAATCAATCTTCATCTGAAATATTTTGAGAAATAGATACAAGAGTAGTACAAAAAGATGTCTATATCTTTATAAGTTGCAGAAGGCTATAATTTTGATGAATTTCTATAGTACAAAAAAGATGTCTATATCTTTATAAGTAGCAAAAGGCTCTATTTTTAATGAAATAGATACAAGAGTAGGACAAAAAGATAAATATATTTTTAATGAATTTCCATAGTTAGAAAAATTACATATAACATGTATACCAAACAATGAAAGCTACATTAAAATTCATTATTTAATCTGTCACAAAGCAGGATAACACAGGATATTCAACACAGTCTAAGAAATATTTTCCTCATAGATCTCCTCCAGAAGTCTGTCTGGTGCCACAACAACTAGGACCTTGTTTCCTAATATGCTAAAAGGAACTCATCGTCTGTAATCTTTTTTATTAAACTTGTGTTTTATCTCCTTATATAGGTCCCCATATTGAATATGGATGGTCTAGTACACAGTAATCTGAATCCAAATAATGAAAATATCAAGAAAATGTGATGCTGAACTTAGATTTAGTGGCAACACGAAGTAGTTTTTGGCCGTGAAATATGTTCGTGCTCATTGGCATAATAAATAAAACTTGCAACCCAAGAGAACAAACAAATAAGCAGGAAAAATAGGGAAAAGGTTCACTTTTGTCCGTGAAAATTTATTATACAAAAGATAAAAAGGTACCTCTTTTCATAGAGGTCATCAATATACTTCTCTAGTTCAAATTCCTGGGAGTTCAGGCACTCGGTGTCGTTAGCCAGCTCCAACAAGCCCGTCGAAATGGAGCTCACGCTGTCAGCATCGCTGCTATCGAACTGATCGCCGCCAGCCTTGCGCCGTTGACCTGCATGATGAAGATCGCCATCAAAACCCTTCCCTTTCTTTTCCAGCATAACCAATTCCAAATTAAAGCAAAATAACAGCCAATTTCGAATCAAAAACACAAATTTGACATACCCCCATCCCAAAAGTCCGATCTTTTTCATAAATCAACAGTCAACGAGGTAAGAACTAAGCATCTAACACGAGAATCGCGGGAACCACTCACTCTTTCCCATGGCGAAAACCAAGGAACGTCAAAACCAGCGTCTTTCGCGACGAATCCGAATAGAAGCGTAGGTAAACAAACAACAACAGGAGTCGGAGGCTGAAGACGGATGGGATGCGAGATTCGCGATATAGCAGCTGGAATCCACGGGTTCAACTAGATCGCATAAGCGCAAAGCCATGTGGTGATCGGAATTGCTCGGGGCAGGGACAATCGGTGAGAAGAAATCCTATGCAGAGAGCGGAAACCAACGCGGAAGAGGGAAGGAAACGAGAGGCACAGAATTTTGGGTAGAAAAAAGAAAACCCTAATTTTTTATTATTACAAATTCCAAATTGGAATCGGAGAACAGCATACGACAACGTGGATTGGAGCCAAAAACAAAAAATAAACAAAACAGGAGTATAAATGCATATTTGCATATATTAATAATTATCATTCGACTTGGATGAGCCACGACATGTGTAATTTTGCATATGTGGAGGGCTTATATGAAACTTTGCATTAATATACTCTTTTCAACTCATCCAGTCATTTACGATCGATATTAAGAATTTAAATATTTCTAAATTATCCTTTTATAAATATACATATATTTTTTAACTTATAATTTAATTTTAATAATTTTATTTACTATTTACTAATAATCTTTTTTTCTTTTTCTTTTCTTTTTCCTCTTAATCACATGAGGTGACATAAAATGACAAAAAAAATCCGATGATGAAATGAAATGAACGAAAAATAAAAGAAGAGGTGAGAAATATTTTTTGATATTTATGATAATAATTTAATATTTTTAAAATTATGTACGTAATAGCTAAAAGATATTATCTTTTAAGTCAATTATATTAATTTATAAAATATCATACTTTATATCTTTACAAATTGTCTACTATGATGCACAGGCACTGAAGAGAGCCTGTGGAAGAAGAAGTAGGGCTCGCCAGCAACGGCTGTGAGGAATAGGCAAAAAAAAAAAGGTAAAAAATAAACCAAGAGAGATTATGAATAATATAATATTATCTATATTAATCTTTTTAAGATTATAAATAGTAAAAGATTGTGAATAGTAGGAAGTGACGATAAAGAGTAAGCTGACTACATGTAGAATATTTCAAGAATAACTTATTGCAATTTACAAGAGCGAGGAGAGGATAAAAATTGGCTTTGATTTATAGGAGAGGGGAAAAGATGTGGAAATTAAAGCACCAACATCTTAAATATTAGATGGATTATGGCAATAGCTTCAATAAAATAAATCCTAATGACGATCAATCTTAGTCCAACACATATAAGTATTTAATGTTCAAATTAATCGATCGATCTCAAAATATTAATAAGTTGTTAGCATGATCCATTGAGGATGAGCATCATCATAAATTAATTTATTCGATGGGAGATATTTGTCCCAAATCACTTACTTGGTATAAGAACAAGTACCATATCGGACCTTGCATTATGTAATAGTGAGATTATCCGATCAATAGGTAACTTGATTTATTTATTATTTTAAAAAAATCAATGGATAAGAAAGAGTAATATTAGTTGGAGTTTTTTACTTGTAGATTTTGCGGTGATCTATTCACATGGTGAGATTAAGAATCCATGCTTATTCTATGCAGACGTATCATTAAAATGCACTCAAGGATTTGACATGCTCCTCGTCTCATTCTCATTATTTCTAATTCGTATCTGATAATATTCAATAATAGATCAGTTATGATATTAATTATCATATGTTCTGATAGGATAATTAGATCATTAATCCCTATTGGCCAGATAAGAGGGTATGAATGGATAGGATCGGGTGGGGCCCGACTACCGGTGTTAGACTCAAATCCTTGTTGTATACTTCGGCCCAATTTGGGCCCAACACATGATCCTCTAAACTTTGTTTTCCAGAGGCACTAGTGCAGTTCTTCTAGTACAATCGGAGAGTATGCTTGCCCCGTTGGTTATCAAATGTACGATGAAATGATATTGTTCAGAAAAAATCAGCTTCTACTGTACATTTGTCTTCTTCCACATCTGCCGATGCATGCAGCAACGGAAGATTAACTCAGAGGTCAATGAAATCCAAGATGTGTACACTGTAATCTCTGAAGCTTCTTTGCAAATGTGTAGATTCTTTTGCCTGCAATCTTCTACGAAGGGGTATTTTAACAAACACTTTGTGTGATAATATTGCCGGCCGCATTTGCTCAGCGTTAAAAGAAACAAATGAAACAGGGTATTTTAACAAACACTTGTGCCATAATGTTGCCGGCTGCATTTGCTTAGCGTTAAAAGAACCAAATAAAACTATCTTAATCCAACAAACCTCAATCCTCGTTTCCTAATCTGATCGCTAATGGACGGACTACATGAGGTAAACCACGATTGATGAACCATCTAATCCGTTCATATCGGATTTGGAGTTTTTTAATCGGGTTCAATATCCGACTGATTCGGGTTCGGATCAAGTTCGTGGATATCCTTGTCCTTTTGCCATCATCTCTTCACTCGAGACAGCGGCGCACACTCCACGACGCGAACGCCCCTTCCCCGCTTGGCTGTTTTCCTCTCCACCGCCTTCGCAACGGGCATGCCTCCTCTCTCTCTCCTCTTCGGATCTCCCCTTTGCCATCGGCGAGATCTCGGAGGAGAGGGACGGACGCGCCATGTCGAAAGCCCGAGCGTACGCTGACGTCAACGTCGTCCGCCCCAAGGAGTACTGGGATTACGAGTCGCTCACTGTCCATTGGGGGTATGACCCGGATTCTCCCACCCCTAGTCGCGGATGTTGTTATGATGCCTTGGTTTGATGAGTTTTGCTTCGTACTTTTGCCCGTTCAGATGTCTACGGTTTTTCTGTGCCCAGCGATCTCTCCTTTTCTACCCTCTTTTGCTGAATTTGTGTGGGAGAAAGCAATGTTATGAGCATGAATTCAACGAAGGGTTTCAGGGAAATAGAAGCTGGTCTCAAGAGGAAAAAGTGGATGATCGAATATGTAGTACGACTATTAAAAAGGAACGAAGGCGAGGCTGAAAGAAGCAATTTTCCTGGTTTGGCTCCGATGCTTATGTTAGATATGTTCATTCCAGGGTTTCTAGCAGATCTTCATGCTCGTGCAGTTTCGAGATGCTAAAGGATGATGTTGATACTCTTGTTCCCGGTAGATTCTTCTGTTGCGAACCACTTTTCGGCTCCTACATGTTTGATGTACGATGTTTCGTAATATGTAATGACTCCTTCCGAGCATCCACTGCAATGTTTGCTTCCCGCTCCTACAATCAGCTGCATGTTGGCAGCTTTTCTTTTGCTGCTTGGTACATTTATTTCATTGGTTCTATTACGTTTATCTGGTTGCTTAACTATTCCTTAATGTTATAAGGGAAGATCTGCAAAATTATTGCATTGAAAAATAAAATAGAGCATTGTTATTCAGCAATAATAGCACCCTCTCATTGTTGATGCAATGATGTTTAGGTTTAGTGCTGCACTGGTTTTTGTCTTACACCTTAAGATGTAATAAATGGTTAATTCTTCCATTTTTATGTTTAAGGTTTCCTTTCATGATTATGGTAAGGTTGTTTCCTAAAGAACATATTCTGTACTCTGTAGCTGTTGGACAAGTAATATGGCCCTTAACAGAGTTCAACAGCAGAAACATCCATGTAAGATCCATGTAGCTGGCCACAAATAATTGGGATATTGATGATACATTGGTATGGAGGCATGTGTGGCAGTGATTTTCTTGAAGGAATTGTGCACAATTACCAAACTAATCATTTTTCAGTTTATTGTATGTAATTTCATATCATGTGCACCATCTTAGTCAGAAAGTAAATCTTGGTGATTTGTTTATCACAATGCTGAGTATCAAGGTTTTGAAACACAGAAACAACTTCTCTGTCCAGGGATAAGGGTGCATGTATTTTACAATCCTTGGTTCCTGTTTTGGAAGAAGCCTTGTTCATCCATCACCAATTTAGTTTTCTTTCTAGATTCTTAAACACATCCATAGTATATGCAATTTTATAGCATCTTCTAAGTATTTTTGCTAAAATGGTCACTAATTGGTGAGTACAGCAAATTGTTTGTCAAGAGCCACAATTTGTTTATTACATTCCTTTTGGATCTTTCGTATCCACCATGATGATAAAAGGAATATACTGAATGAAGTTCAAAAACTATTATTTTCTTCAGGAGTCAGGATGTTTATGAGATTGTGTGCGGAAGGTTGGAAGAGGGAAGTACAGTGAGGTCTTTGAAGGCATAGATGTAACCAATAACGAGCAGTGCATCATCAAGATCCTGAAGCCTGTTAAGAAAAACAAGGTATTTTCTCATTCATGAATGTCTAGTGTTCTACTCCTTATGAAGCCAAAAAAGTCTTTTATTGCATCAAATTGTTGCACCTGTGCTATACTTTGGTTGACAATCTGGAGCTTATGTATGCATGCATCATGTGAAGTTCATCACCAGAATAATGAAGTTGAAAAATCTTGACTATGAAACATAACTGCTGAAACAATACTCACTAGACAGGTTGCTAGCTGCCCATCCATAACATGATTCTTGCAATCGGCATGACTTGAAAATTAAGTCAAGGAATTCCATTGGTCCTCATGAAATAATTAAATATCTTAGATTTTTTTTTTTTCTGATTTGCAAAACATGTTAGAGATTATATGATTGCTTCTATGAAGTTTTGCAGTTGATAAAGCAACACTAGAAAACAAAGGATTGCTTTTCTTACCTTGTAAAGTGGACCTAACACCTGATACTTTTATAATCTTCTATCAGTCTACTTATCTCTAGTTCTCTCTAGCCATAATGAAAGACTACAAGTTCTCTTGTATTGTCACAATTCTTATTGTCCGGTCATTGGTGCATACAATGCAGAGGAGCATCAGTTGTTCATTTGATTTTTTTTCTCATACTTCTTTTTGCATTTCTTCTCTTGGTATTTCTTCTTATTGTCACAATTCTTTTGCAATTCTTTTGGCTATTTAGCTTTAACTGGATATAAAAATATGTTATCAGATAAAGAAGATCCGAAAAGATTTTAATAAAAGTTATAAATTGAGATTTAAATATTTTTAATTAAATATATAACTTTCTACATATCTCTCAATAATGGTAAACAATCCATGTAATTAACTTTAAATAATTGATGCTTTATGGCTTTCTTGTTGTTGTTGAAAGATATCCCCCATTCCTTTAAACAAATAAGTACATATTGTTTTATACTCTAAACAAATAAGTACATATTGTTTTATACTCTAAATCTTTGATTGCATAATGATCTTGGATTTATGATTGAACTTTTTGATTACATAGTGGCAAGTTATTACAAATCATTCTCTTTGATTAAAAATTATTGGCTCATTGTTCATCTTTTTTTCAATCGTTTCTTAGCAGTCTATTTTTTATTAATGATTTTCAATAAGCAGAGATTTTCTTTCCAATATCCTTCAAGATGAAAATGTTCTCCTCCCATCTTTTCTTAAAATTGTTGTTGTGTTTGTCTACCATTATCCTTGTCATTTGATGGAATAATAGCTAGCTTTAGAGCAAAACCGACGGTATTGGTGTCATGGTAAGGTTAGTCTATGCAATGTTTTGAGCCATAAAAATAGCCTCTTAGGGGTAAGACTAAGGCTGTATATATTGACCCTGCAAAAACCCCTTGGGAGTCATCGTTTTGAGCTGGCATGTCTTTTTCTTGAGAGAGTGGCTAAACTGATTTAATTACTTGATTCAACTGAGATAACTTTTCTGGGCTTCTTTCTGCATATAAAGAGAGGGAGATCAAAATACTTAAGAAATAATATTTTATTGATAGTTGAAAAGAAACATTATATCTTTATTTGTAGAGTTCCACCTACAAATATATAT